TTGTTGTTGGTGAACGCGCCAATGGGGTGCGGTGCCGGCTCGGGTGAAGGTGAGCGAGCACGGCGACGACGCGATTTGCTGGTCATGGCCATGTTGCTCATGACGTTGCGAGCTGGGGCAGTCGGTGACGGCTGCTGCTGCTGATGCTGAACCGCTGGGTTCAGGTTGCGCGCGGAAGGGGGCTGATACCCCTGGGCATGACGCGCGTCGCCTCGTGCGTCTTGACGGCCGGACCAGGTGCTCGGATTGGTCTGGCGAGGGCGGGATCGGTTCTTGCATCGATCCGCCAGATGCCCGAAATTTCTGCAGATTTTGCAGTAGAGGCGCCGTGGCTTTCGCTCTTCGGTGTTGTCGGCGTAGAAGGCGAGCCTTTCGCGTTCTCGTCGCGGCGCAGGTCGCTGCTGATCCATATCCCTCTGTTCGACGAGAAGGGCGGCGCAAAGGGCGGCCTCCGAGATGACCCCCTGCTGTCGAAGAAGCGCCTTGCAGGGCCGCCACTCTGGGCCGAGCCCTTGAAGCACGATATTCACGAAGATTTCTTCCGAAATCGAGCTTCCCAGCTTCGCGATTTGATCGCGAAGGCTTCGACAGCGATTGATGTAGCTGTTGGCCTTCTCCCCTGGGGCCATTTTTGTTTCCAGTAGCTGCTGAAGCAGCCGGCTCGAGGAGACGGAGTCCTTCGGCTGATACACACCGTTGAGGTGTCGCCAGGCTTCAAGGGCTGGGGCGGCCGAAGTCTTGTATGAGCGTATGCTCAGTTGCTCCGTCGGTGCCATGTTCCGCAGGAGCACCCCGTACGCCATTAGGGACTCGTTGTAGTAGCGGGTCCTGGCGTCGTCCGTGTCGTCGGCAGGCTCCGCGTAGCTCCCGTCGAAATAGTGAAAGATTTGGGCGTTCTGCAGCAAGAGCTCCAACTCGAAGCTCCAGGTATAGAAGTCTCTGCCGTCAAAACAAGTACTTGTCTTTATTTTTGATATGCTCAGAAACTTTGATTGAGCAGAGAGAATTGCCTCTTCACTGGGACGGGGAGCCTTGGGGGTTGAGCCATTGGTGTCGAGAGAGAATGTGTGCGGGGCGGCGTTCTGGCCAGTTGGGGCCGGTTGGGATGGTTGCGAGGATGTTCCCGCATCGCCGTTCCGCAATGTTTGGAGTCCTTGCTCCAGGCTGGTGAGTCGCTGAAGAAGTTGTGCGAGAACTTCGGTGCCGATCGTCGTCGTGTTTTCGCTTGTCGCAGCCGGGTTGGGTTGCGCTTCAGCCGTTAGATTGGTCTGACCACCAGATCCTCCGGCCATCTTCACTCGTGAGCGTGTGCCGGACGCCACTTTCCGAATGTCGCAATTTTCGGGAGTGGCAGTGCGAAGGATTCCTGAGCCGCTCTCATACCATGCTGAGATCAGAAGTTGATCGTAGCCCAGGATCTACCCAGGAAGGTTCGCACGTAGTGAGATAGTTTGGTGGGCCCTTGACCTCAATAGCAGAGTGAATGTAAAATGCTTTGAGATGAATAGAACATGCAAATACAACGATATAAATATGAGTACAGGGGAATACGAAGCGACCTGGCTAGCCATGTACTCCAAGGGGTACATTCCCTTATTCGAATTCAAACCAACCGTGCGGCCCGAGCAGTTACGAAACTGTTCCCGCCAGATTCATCGTCCCTGCAGCTGCCCGATGCCGTTTTTCTCCGACGGTCTAGATCCACCCTAACCGTCTGACGCTTCGAGTCAACTCTGACTCCTCGCATTCGTTCTCGATACTGCATGCCTCTTTGCTGCGGTGAGGAGTGCACAGTAATATCAAGTATTACTATTCGTAACATGATTGATTATAGAAAAGTAGTACAAGGTTTTTATAAGATTGCAGGGAATATGAGAAGATGCAACTTACTGTTTTAGTGTTGCTGTTGCCGTTCGATACAGCGACGACTCGGGCAACTGCTCAATATCGAGTCAGTTGTTTGTCCTTGCTGTCGCGGTGCTTTTCGTCGAGTCAAATGTCGCTGACCTTCGCATGACCTTCGCGTAACCTCCAGTTGTTGCTTTTGTCAACCTCCTCGGTTGACTCGCTGTTGCTTCGTTGCAGTTTGCTTTACTTGCAGTTCGGCATTTCAATCACTTCAGAAGCGTTTGATTAATTGTTTCCAACAATATTAATATCACAATAAATGAAACTGGTTTCCGGCTTGGATCTCAGTAGATGTTGAGTTTATTTTTGTATTTGATTCTGTTGAGTTCTGATTTCAGATATCCATACCAAGATTGTCAAATGTTAGCTTGCATCATCCCTCGTTTTGTCGTTATTCTTTATGCAAAATACACTACGTATCGTCCAGCTTATCGAGAAACGCTTTCTGTACTCGAGTTTATGTGAAGGCTGTCTACTGGTGTCGAGAGAGAATGTGTGCGGGGCGGTCCGCGGCTCTGCCTCGTCAGTAAACACCTGACAAAATAGATGCAACAAACATAGATAACACGTCAGTCAGTCAGACAGCGATCAAAGCGTCGATTCACTTCAGCAGTGGAGTGATTACCAGCACTAGGGTTTTCCAAGGCACACCCTCTGTTGTTGATCACGCCGATCCATTCAGTAAATAGAGCTTTTCTCCCATTGTCCGAGATCCATTGGACTGCTGAATGCTAGATCGTTGAGTGCTGGGCTGCTCAATTATTGCTCAATGGCTGCCGTCGCGTTGAACCTGACGGTTCCGCCAGGAGTCGTTCGCCTGGGCGCCGGTGCGAGCAGCAGCGAAATGTCGATTTCCCAGAAGCCACGCACTTACGTTTTTATCGTTAACCCTAAAGGTAGAAGTCGCACGCCAGCAGGCTATTATCGTCGTCTAGTAGGACTATAAGCTAATGGCGTGCGCTGCAATACCGTGTCACACATCCGCTGGGTAGCACAATTTTGTGCGACTAAGGGGAAATGCGCGGAAGCCCACGCCCACGCCCACGCCCACGCGCATTTCCACATAATGATTAGAATTCTGACGTCAGAGTTCCTGCTTGGCAGCTGGCAGCGGCAGGACGTTCAAGAAATGGAAGGAGATGAAGCCGCTGCTGCAGTCGTCGCTTGGGGAAAAAATCACTGTGAGACCCGCGATGACCTGAGGGAGTCTGCATGCGACATGGGGTGCGAGGGTTGGCATGCGACACGACACGAGTATGCCTGTAGAACTTCGGTTTTCCTCATGCGAAGTCACACATCCCTGCTCATTTGAGTCGCACATGCCTGCTCATTTGAGTCGCACATGCCTGCTCATTTGAGTCGCACATGCCTGCTCATGCGAGTCGCAATGCATGTTCATGCGAAGTCGCACATGCCTGCTTTATGCTGATGCTCTAGGATTAAATCACTCCTTATGCTGGCCGTTTGAGGTCTGCTCATGCAGTTTCTTCGTAATATATCTTCTCTCTTGTATGCTGTTTCTTTTCAGGAAATGTATCTACTCCCTTGCATGCTGATTACTAGACGTCTTCCTCCCCCCATTCCCGCCTCTCCCTCCCTCCCCCCCGCCCCCTCGTAGTGGTTTGAACCTGTATTATGCATCCGTGCATGTGATCATTATTATCACCATGCGATATGACATCATGACGTCATCATCACATCATCGTCTGTCTGTCTTTGTATGAGCAGGTGCGTGAAGCCCTGACAGAGTATCCTTACCATGCTGCTGAGCTGGCAAGAGAGGTGAGTGACGTGGCAGAAAAGGTGGGTGAGCTGGCGACGGTTCTGGATGAGCTGTCAAACAGGGGCTCCCATAGAGCACCTCTTCTCTGGGCACGTATGGCCATTGGTGCATGCTTTGATTATTCGCTCGTTGAATGCACTCAGAGTGCTGCAATGCACTCTGGGTGCTGCAATGCACCCGCTACCCTCCCTGTCTCCTTTGTCCCCTCCCATCTTCTCCGCTCTCGTCACTTCCCCCTCCCCCTCCCCTCCCTCCCTTCCTCCCCTCTTACCTCCCTTTTCCCCCTGTCGGAACTCTCTCGATTCGTATCTCCTACCCTCCCTGTTCCAGCCACGCTCAATAAGTCATTGTCACTCAACCTGTAACCAGCCTCCGCTGTATCATTCCTTTTGCCGCCATCCTCCTGCCACCCACCCAGCCTTACTTTAAATGCCCTCTTCTCTGTTCTCATCTCACCACACCACACCACACCCATCCCACTCCTCCACCCATCTCACCACCACACCCATCTTTTCTCACTCCACTCATCTCACCACCACGCTCATCACACTCCACCCATCTCTCATTACGAGCAGGCGGTGGAGCAGGGGGCAGAGGCGGTGGTGGCTGTGGGGGGCGATGGTACGCTGCATGAGGTGATGTGACCTTTTAAACTGGTGGATACAGCACTGTAATGTGTAGTGTACTGTGTACTGTGTAGTGTGCTGTGTACTGTGTACTGTGCTGTGTGCTGTACTGTGTGTGGGTTAGCACACTGCATGAGGTGATGTGAGTCAAACACTACCCGGAATACAGTAGTATACCCTACTGTGTGTGGTGTCAATGGCAAATTTCTCGAGGTAATGTATTTTTTCATTCGTACTAACCCCATATGTCATTGGCCGTGTGGCATTGACTAAAGGCTGAAGAGGTCGGTGCATGCAGTAGTGTTACTGTGCAAGGCAGGTCAAGCTTGCAGTTTGTGAAAGCGCAGGGAGGTAGAGAATATTTGGCAGAGGCTTTCAAAGCACTGGGAGAGCAGTTGAGCTTGGCATTAATAATTCTGTTTGGTGCCGGTATAAAGAAAAAACGGGCATGCGTCGCCCACGCCACGCGTTTCTGTAGTTTTTGGGAAAGCAAGAAGATAAATCAGACGTGTGGTTGCCGTTCTATGCTTTCTCGGAAAGGAACACGTATCGCGAAGTTGTACTAAAACTTGAGAGGCAGGTTTTGCTCCATTCTCCCTTTATTCTGCCCAAGACAATCATGAGGCGCTCATCAGCTGCTGTACTTCCCATCTTTCGTTTCGCCTCATCTGCCCGGGCAGCAGGTCGTCAACGGTTTTTTCTCCAATGGGCAGCCCGTGGTTCCTCGGACAGCTGTTGCGCAACAAAGGCAGCGGCGGACTGAAGAAGAGGAGCAGCAATTAGGGACGCACAGGGAGCAGCAGCCAGAGCCTTCCATCAGGAATAATCAAGAGCAAAACGGCAGTGAAGGGACTGATGCTGTTTCCAGAAGAGCAGCACTTGGGGTATGCAGGTGGAATGGAACATGGAGGGAAGGTGCAGAGAGGACAGTCACAATGCAGTGCAGAGGATTGCACAGGGAACGAACAGCCGGGTAATTATGTTTTTTGTACTGTCTCATAAAGGTCAATGGCACCACCCAGCCAACCTTTGCAAACGCCTGATGCTTGTGGAATTGGCTCTGATATGTCAAAGTCTAAACCTCTGGTCATCCGGTGCACAGCTTGCATGCCCCGCCTATCCCCACTTCCCCGCTCACTCCCCATGCTCATTCTCTGTCCCTCTCACCGGTGCCATCCTTCCAACCCTCTCCACATTACTGCTTACGCCGCTGTCTTTCCACTCTCTGCATGCATGCATGCTCATTCTTTTCTCTTCTCAGGTCATCCCTCTCGGCACTGGCACTGACTTCTCTCGAACCTTCGGCTGGTCAGTTCTATTCCCCACGCCACAGCAACCACCCATCCACCAAGCTCTCACTGCTGCATCAGCACTGGTGGGTTTACCATGGCACTCAGTCAGCACTCACTGTCTTACCAGCGGCTGCGCCTGACCTTGTATCAGCCCTCCTCTGCTGCTTGTCGAAAGGGAGCAAGGGAGGGGTGTGGGGGAAAGGGATCTGGGTGGTTGATGTTGATTGTTTGTTGTGGCTGTTCATGTGGCAACAGGAGGAGCAATGACGTGAAGGGTTCGGTGGCAAGAATAGTGCGAGGTATGATCCTGTATGGTTCGGTGTGCTGTGGTGTGATGTGGTGTAGTGCGGTGTAATGGTGTGGTGTGATGTGAGGTGTGGAGTAGTGTGGTGTGGTGTAGTGTGGTGCGGTGTGTGTGTGATGCCATGTGTTAAACGACATTGTCACAGAGTGTTCGAACACTTTAGGATTAATGCGATGTGATTTCTGTGTGAAAGCGCTGCAAGCAACGACGCGATATGATGCACCGCCCTGCACTAGAACACTCGCGATCCTGTATGAATAGAACAGCAGAATGTGAGATGGCGAGCAACTGAGGCACATGTTGACCTCCATGCTTCGTTTTGCTGCATTCTTTATCACCCTGCAGCTGTTGACCTCCATGCTTCGTTTTGCTGCATTCTTATCACCCTGCAGCTGTTGACCTCCATGCTTCGTTTTGCTGCATTCTTATCACCCTGCAGCTGTTGACCTCCATGCTTCGTTTTGCTGCATTCTTATCACCCTGCAGCTGTTGACCTCCATGCTTCGTTTTGCTGCATTCTTATCACCTATGTTGCGCCTGACGCCCTGGAAGGGCAGCGTCCAGCGTCTGGACGGTCACGTCCGGACGCTGGACGCGTCAAACAGGTTTGACGCTGGACGTTGGGGATTTTTTTTTTCGGGCAGCCCGAAAAAAAATCCGCGAAATTGACGCGCGATTTCATCGCGATTAGAATTGCGATGAAATCGCCAAGTATGGGTTGCGTTTTTTACCTACAAAAACGCAACCCTCGTTTATTCCCCCCCACACATTTGTACCCATCCAAATCTACTTCTCCCAACCAGGTTGACCTCCATCTAAACTAGAGATCCAGATCCAGGTCGACATTGCACACATCTGTTTCTCTCCACATTGCCTAGCATACCTAGGCCTAGACTCCGCCAGTCACGCTACTAAGTCTTCCTAGCTCAATTTAGGTTAAGACGATTAAGTTATCATGTCAACTCCTAGTCCCGCCAGTCATTCTGGTGGTAGTGGCTCCACACCACATCTTCTTAGGAGATTTTCAGGAATTTCTAGATTATCTGAAGTATTTATAACTTTAGGTGAAAAATGTGACCTTGTTGCATTCTAACCCCCGTGTGGCCTTACTAGGCAGGTTTTATTTACCCCTGCCCGGGAAAAGTTTTGCCCTGCCCGGACTAGCATCAAGCGGGCGTCCAGGGCAGAGGAACCCGGGCGTCAAGCGTCTGGACGCCTCGTCCAGACGCCAGCGTAAAAAACGCCTGACGCGTCAGGCGCAACATAGCTTATCACCCTGCAGCTCACCCTTGGCGCACCCCCTCAAACCAACCTCAGAACAGCACGGTGGCAGTGCACGTGGGGGGCATTCACCTGCCGGCCTGCTACTCTTCGATCACTCCTTCCTGACCAACCCGCTATCCCCGTTGCCCTTCCCCCCAACCTGTCTGCAGGCCAGTGCATGGCAGTGGACGGGGGGCGCGTTCAGCTGCCTGCCTGCTGCCCTCCTGTCACCCCTCACCACCCCCTCTCACCACCCCGGACCCTTCACTTCACTCCCTCACCCCCCTGGCTCTTATTACTGCAGGACAGCACATGGCAGTGGATGTGGGGCGAGTTCACCTGCCTGCCTGCTGCCCTCCGATCACCCCTCACCACCCCTCACCACCCCTCCTCACCACCCCTCCTCACCACCCCTCCTCACCACCCCACCCCCCTTCAGCACCCCCCTGACCCTTCATACCCCCACCCCCCTGGCTCCTATCACCGCAGGGCAGCGCAGGGCAGTGGACGTGGGGCGAGTTCAGCTGCCAGCCTGTGCCGTGGACCGCTGCTTCATCAACGTGGCCGATGTGCACCTGTGAGTGGATCATTGGACGAGCGCTTGTGCACCTGCTAATGCATGAGTTGATTATTTGATATGTTGGCGAGTTCAGCTGCCTGCCTGTTCTATCCATCACTACCACATGTGAGTAGTTTGTTGGTTTGGCTGTGCACCTGTGAGCCCACATGAACCGCTGCTTCATCAAGTGGCTAGTGCGCACCGCACCTGTGAGTGGATGAATGGGGGAGCCAATGTGATGTGAGCCGATGACCACCGGTGATTCAGGGGGGTGGCTGGCAGCACTGTTGCCTCTTGACATGTAAGCACGTCACGTGGATCGCTGCTTCTCTTTATCAACGTGCCCAGTGCGCACCTGTGAGTGGGCGAGTGGAGGCATGGCATGGCATGGCATGGCATGGCATGGCATGGCATGGCATGGCATGCATGCACACGTGTGGTGGGGCGGGGTGGGCAGCACTATCCTTGAAGCCCGTTGGGTTCATCGGCTTGCCCATCACAACCACACCCCACACCTCTCACTCTCCCCTGTCGCCCCCCTACCCACCTCCCTCATTGTGGTGTGGTGGGTCAGCGTGCTGTGAACAGCAGTCTCCTTCAAGACCCCGGAGCCTCATTTCTATCCATCACAACCACATCCCACACCTCTCACTCTCCCTTGTCACGCTCCTCTCTGCTCCTTTCCTTGCTGCATCCAGGAGTGCGCGTGTGAGGCTGGAAGCAGTCTCTCTGAAGGCCCTGGGGCTTCTTAGTGATGCAATAACACCAATGCCCCACACCTTTTACTCTTTCCTGTCCCCCCCTGCCTCCAGTCCACGAGTGCGCATGTGGAGCCGGAAGCAGTCGCTCTGAAGGCCTCGGGACCTTCTTCTACCCATCACAACCACTCCTCACCCCACACCTCTCACTCTTCCCTGTCGCCCCCGTCTTTCTCCTTCTCTTGCTACATCCAGGAGTGCACGTGTGGGGCGGGAAGCAGTCTCTTTGAAGGCCCTGGGGCCTCTCTGCTACGCCGTGGCGGCTTTTAAAGCGTTTCCTAAGCACCGGAACTTAGACCTGTGCATCAGGGTAGGTGCATACACAGCTTCTCAGCATGTTCAAGCACACAGACCTTCTCAGCCTCTCACCTTCTCAACCCCTCGTCCTCTCCTCCTCTCATCGTCTCAGCTTACTCCCTTGTCACTCCAACCCCCCTCCTCCTACCCCTCCCCCTCCTCGAACCCCCTCCCTCCCCAACCCCCCTCCTCTCCCCGCATCGCCATCAGCACTTTCCTCTCTGCCATTCCTTCGCTGCGCTTCATCTCTCTGTGCTGTGTTCTCAAAAGAAGAGAAACTGTTGAGCCTCCCTCAATAGTCGCCTCCTGCCATTCCTTCTCTGCGCTTTATCTCTCTGTGTTGTGTTCTCAAAAGAAGAGTAACTGTTGAGCCTCCCTCAATAGTCGCCTCCTGCCATTCCTTCGCCGCCCTTTCTCTCTGTCTGTTGTCTTCTCAGAAGCTCTCAATTCCTTTGGGAATATTATTGTGCCCTAATATCCTTTCAGCCTGCCTCCACCGCAGCTGCTCTATTCGACCCCTCCCATCCCAACTTCTCATCCTTTCCCTCTCTGCATGCGCATCCCTCAGCAAGACAAGGGCTTCTGGAAATTTTCGGTTTCCTAAAAGTCGACTAATTCCTTCCTGCACTGCACACCCCCAACAGGGACAGCAATCACTGGGAAACCTTGCAGTCACCGCAATGGCAGTGGGCAATGGCAGTGGGCAATGGCAGTGGGCAATGGCAGTGGGCAATGGCAGCTACTGTGGAAGAAGGATGGTCAACCTCCACCTTGTCAATCCCCTTCCCACCCCAACCACACCCCCTGTCACCGCTCATATCCCACAGAGGGACAACGGCCCGTGCTGTGGGAAACCCTTCCAGCACTCACCACAATCGCAGTGCGCAACGTTGTGGGACAACGATCGCAGCCGCCAATGGCAGGCAGCAACTTCGCCCTTACTCCATTTCCCCTTTTTCCACCATCCCCGCCTCCCCCCTGCAACTCGCAGGGGGACAATGGCACCTGGGAAACCCTCCCAGCAGTAACCACGATCGTATTGGGCAACGCCACCTACTACGGGGGAGGGATGAAGAACTTTTCCCTTGTCACTTCCTTCGCTCTGCAACCACACCCCCCTCTCCTCCCCCATGTCCAGAGGGACAACAGCCCCTGGGAAACCCTGCCAGCAGTCACCACGACTGTGGTGGGCAATGCTAACTAGTATGGGGGGGGGATGAAAAGAAGAAGTCCTGATCGTTCTTCTTCCCTCCCTAAACGAACCCCTTTTTTCTCTCCGTGCCCGCAGAAAGACAACGGCCCCTGGGAAACCCTGCCAGCAGTCACCACGATCGCGCTGGGCAATGCCAACTACTACGGGGGAGGGATGAAGATCTGTCCGCACGCGAATCCCAGCTCGGGATCCCTGGATGTGCGTTTGGGGATAGGGAAGGCATTGTGGTGGGGATTGTGAGTCTGTGGCGTGTGTGATAAGTAACATAAGGGGTCGACTCGAATGGCAAGTACCTGAGGGTTTGAGGTGGGCAATGACAGCTACTTGGGGGGAGGCATGGAGATCTGCCCGCGTGCCAATCCCAGTTCGGCATCCCGGATGTGCGTTTGGGGCTTGTTGGTTTGGTTGTGGTGAGGATTGTGTTCTGGGGGTGGGGTGGCGCTGGCATGTGTGTGTGTGTGAGTGGCGACGTCTGAGTAGACTCAAAATGCACCTGAAACTCTGAATGTGCGGTGGGATATTACGCACCAGAGTTGGCTGGTCGCCCCAGCTTTGGCGACAACCAAATTCTCTCCGCTCTTCTCCTGCCTCACTTCCTTGCATTCGCCTCCGAGGCGCGCCGTCGGCTCTCCGCTGAATGTCCTAGCTACGCTGCGCGTTTCTTTCATCATTACGCGCCGGCGCCCGCCATGATGGCATCTCGCCGCGCCTGGGGTTGGTGTGGGTGCTGCAGGGTTGTTGATTTGCGCTGGGCAATGATAACTACGATCTGCCCGAATGCGAATCCCAGTGCAGGCTCTCTGGGTGTGCGTTTGGAAGACTTGGGGGCGGTGTGCTGGAAATTGGGTCATGGCTGGGTACTGAGGGTTAGTGCGCTGGAGGTTGAGTGGTATGTGTTTATGTCGTGACGCCTGAGTCGACTTTAAAGGCACCTGAAAGTCCGAATGTGCACTGAGGAAGCTGGGGTTGCGCTGGGCAATTGGAGCTACTTTTGGTGGAGGGATCAATATTTGCCTGCGTTCGAATCCCAGCTGGGGACCTTTGGATGTGCGATAGGGATCGGGGGTTGAGCAGTGCAGGTTGGGGTGCGCTGGGGGTCGAGCGGCTTTCGATTGTGATCTTGCTATAGGTCGTTGAGCTGCTGCCATCCCAGGAAAGCAGGGAGATCTGCCCACGTGCAAAATCCCCTCAGGATCCCTGGATGTGCATCTGGGTCTGGGAATTGAAGGACGCTAGGAAATGGAGGGTTTTGGGGATTGGTGGATGGTAGGGTGTGATTTGATCCATTTGTTGGGGAGGGTGTTCTGTCTCTGGTTTATGTTTCAAAGTTCATGGTTCCATGTTTCGTTTGTGAGGTTCTTTTGAGAATTCTTAAAAAAAAAAAAAAAAAAAAAAAAAAAAAACCCCTTTTTTTATAATTCTAAAAAACAGGAAACCCTTTTTGAGGATTCTAAAAAAACAGAAAGCCCTTTTTGAGAATTCTAAAAATATATAAAATTATTTGTGAGAATTCTCAAAACAACATTGTCCAGGTCGTACACCTACGGTTCATTCTTCATGGCTCACGACAGTTCCACACAGTGCGGAAGTGTGGGTCTCTGTGTGTCCCTGTGTGCCCCTGTGTGTCCCTGTGGGTCTCTGTGCGTCCCTGTGCGTCCCTGTGTGTCCCTGTGGGTCTCTGTGAGGCACGGTGGGCCGCCTCTAAAGGCACTTTCTCTGTTTTGCTGCTACGAAGCCACGCTTTGACAATGCCGTCCTGTCATGATGTCATTTCATACTACGCTGCTCTCACAGCACCATGCTATCCACTTAGTGCCTCTTCCACTTGTGCTCAATGCCTACGGTGTAGGCGGGGATGGTCGTGACTCATCAAACCACCATCCTTGCCTAAGCCGTCATTGGTCTCATTCACCGAAAATTGCTTACGAGTCGACTCCAAGATACGGTTTTTGAGGTTCCTCAAAGTTCATCAAATCACCATCCCCGCCCCTGCCGTGTTTGGTCTCATTCAGCGGGAGTTGCTTATGAGTCGACTCAAAGGTACCGTAGCCTGTTTGCATGACTTGCCTTCCTCACTTTCTGTGTTGTTTACCCAACCCACCCATCCCAGGTGGTAACCATATCCGGTTACACCGTGCTATGATTCATCCTGGGAAAATTGCACCTCTTTGCATGGTTATGGCCCTATCTGCCTACGCCCCTGCTCACCTGCATGCTTTGTTGTTTATCCATCCCATCCCAGGTGGCAACCATATCAGGCTACGTTGTATTGTGCTGGGGTGGGATGCATCCTGTGGGAACTGCACTGTACCGCTTTGCATCATTGTGGCCCTATCTGCCTACGCCCCTGCTCACCTGCATGCCTGCCCTGTCTATGTGTTTCTGATACTTCCCCTACTGTGTCGTTTATCCCCAGGTGGTAGCCCTATCAGGGTGCTAGGATTCATCCTGGGGGGGTTGCACCGCTTTGCCTGCTCCCTGCTCACTTGCATGCCGTTGCCTTTCTTTTGTGTTGTTTTCCCATCCCGCTCCAGGTGGTAACCATATGCGGTTACACTGTGCTTGGGTTCATCTTGCGGGGATTGCACCTGTTTTCCGGCACCCACTTGGGCTTCAAAGGCGTAGATAATTACAGGTGCAGTGGGAGAATGAGAGGTGCAGTGGGAGAATGAGAGGTGAAGTGTGGGAATGAGCGGTGCAGTGGGAGAATGAAGGGTGCCGTGGGAGACTGAGGGGTGCAGTGGGAATGAGCGGTGCAGTGGGAGAATGAGGGGTGCAGTGGGAATGAGCAGTGCAGTGGGAGAATGATGGGTGCAGTGGGAGAATGAGAGGTGCAGTGGTAAGTGGTGCAGTGGGAATGAACGGTGCAGTGGGACAATGAGTGGTGCAGTGGGGGAATGAATGGTGCAATGTGAAGGTTCAGGAATGCACGAAGACACTAAGGTACACTCATCATACATTAACAGGATAGCCATTCATGTACACCACACATCTGTGCTATTTCTGGTTAGTTTCACCTGCAAAGGGTAGATATCATATGTGATAGCACACGAACTAAGTTACCACCATGTTCACTCCGCATTCATATTCTGGTCGTACGGTATTTCCAGTGCTGCTCATACTTCACTTCCCCTCCTGTTCATTGCAGTGCCGAGGTGATTGAAATGAAGGTGGCGGCAGCAGAGGGTGACAATAACGAGGCCAGCCAGGAGGTGTATGTGGAAGGGGATGGGGAGGCGCTGGGGCACCTGCCTGCAGTCTTCAGAGTACTCCCAGGGGCGATCGACCTTCTTGTTTAGCCTCTCTTCGTTTCTTCTGAGTTTACTAAAAAGTGGGCACCCGACTAGTGTTCAGAAAACTCCCAAACACTGCTGATTATTTCGTTTAGCCCTTCTCGTGAGTGCGCATCATGCTCTGTTGCAGAGAGTTTCTTAAGGAATTGAGAAACAAGAGTTGGACATTGGACCTGCCAAGTGCACCTGTCTCTGTGCAAGTGCGTAGTGTCAAGATTACATTATATCCTGCCTGCTGTAGTTACTGTAGTTATTATGATAAACTGTTGGTGGTACACCTTTCCTTGCTTGTTTGTTCTCTATTTGTACCCTTTCCTCAATAGTGAAAGCCCTCTTTCGGCAATCCCGTTTTCCTCTCGTAACTAAGTCTATGCTCCTAAGCTAGGGTTTCTCCTAGCCTAGGAAGCTCTTAATCTTACGGTAACATGGAATCAGAGCCATTGATCCTACGGACAGAAACTGTTATGGGCCCACCAGTCTTGCTAGCCATGGCGCCCGTTGTACTCTCACCTGTCACGCACGCTGCCCGTTCCGCCCGCGCACAGTCCGTCCAGATCGCACGCAGCCCGAGCCGCCCCGCGCGCAGCCCGTTCCGCCCGCGCGCAGCCCGTCCAGGCCGCGCGCAGCCTGAGCTTGCTGGCGCGCAGCCCGTTTCGCGTGCGCGCGGCCCGTTCCGCCCGCGCGCAACCTGTCCAGGCACGCGCAGCTCCAGCCGCCCCGCGCGCAGCCCGTTCCGCAGTAGCGCGCCGCCCCACGCCCGTGCGTGCGACCAGGCGCAGCAGCTCGCGCCCCACGGCCGCGCACTACCGGCAGCAGCAGCGCGCCGCCCCCCCTTCCCTTCCGCGGCTTCTGCCGTGCGGGGGAAAGATGTGGGGGTGGCGGTGTCAAAACATTGTATTGTGTAGGCTGTAGTGGGGTAGCCTATATGGGGTACAACCCAGTTTAGGGTTAGTACTTGTACCAAACCCTGTCATAGTTCATTCACTCTTGCCGTTCATTCTGACATGGTTTCAGAGCAGGTCCTATCCCAGGACCGTTCTTGTTAGGGCCCACCGATCGTATTCTGCCCGTCGCGCTGCTCCACCACACGCGCATGCCCTGCCCTGCCCTGCGTTGCGCCGCCCCGCGCACGCCCTGCCCTGCCCTGCGTCGCGCTGCCCCGCGCACGCCCTGCCCTGCTTCGTGCGCCCCGCGCACGCCCTGCCCTGCCCTGCGTCGCGCTGCCCCGCGCACGCCCTGCCCTGCGTCGCGCGCCCCACGCACGCCCTGCCCTGCCCTGCATTGCGTCGCGCTGCCCCGCGCACGCCCTGCCCTGCGTCGCGCTGCCCCGCGCACGCCCTGCCCTGCCCTGCTGCCCGTTGCGTCGCGCGCCCCTGCTGCCCGTCGCGCCGCGCGCCCCTGCTGCCTGTCACATCGCGTCGCCCGTGCGGGCTGCCCTGCCCATCACGTCGCCCGTGCGGGCTGCCCTGCGCGTCTCGTCGCCCGTGCGGGCTGCCCTGCCCGTCGCGTCGCCCGCGCGGGCTGCCCTGCCCGTCGCGTCGCCCGTGCGGGCTGCCCTGCCCGTCGCGTGACCCATGCGGGCTGCCACAGCTCGTCGCGCGACCCGCGCGCGCCGTGTCGTGTCCGCGCACCGCGCGTCTGCCCTGCCCTGCCTGTCACGCGGCTCGCGCGCGCCCTGCCCTGCCTGCGCGCCGCGTCATAGCCCTGCCCTGCAAGTCGCGCGGCCCGCGCACGCCCTGCCCAACCTGCGCACCGCGCGTACGCCCTGCCCTGCCTGCGTGCCGACCTACTTCCAATGCGCCACCCTGCTCTGGCCGCGCACCGCCCTTCCCTGACCGTGCACCGGCCCACCCTACCCTCCGCACTAACCCTAGTGCCTGATCGCCGTGTCGACGCCCTTCCCGCTATGACTTCTCTTCGAGGTAGCAGTGAGAGTGGTGGCGGCGGCCGTGGTAGCAGTCGCGGTGGAGCTGTTCAGTGGGGAGTTTCTGGCGGTGGCCAGATGCAGCTGCAGCGGCGTCCGCGCGAGACCCTTACGTCTCAGCAGCTTCGTGAGTGGTTAGCTCAGCGTGACCCTGGGTGTACTGCTCGCTGCCCGTACGTCATTCGCACAGGTGACCGCGCTGGTCAGACCTGCGGGACATTTGGCCACACACAGTCCCGCTGCTTCGCCTATCTGAGCGACGCCTGGCGCGCAGAGTTTGGCGTCGCGGCTGAGCTCCCCCACTGGTTCGAGCTGCGTCGGTGCGGTGTGGATATATTTGCTCTAGACTATGACGTTATCCCTACGGCTATGTACGCTTTGCCTGCTGGTACTGAGGGTGACTGCTACAGTGTGTGCCGCCTGACCCAGGTATAGCGGCTGCTGCTCTAGGTGCTAGTGAGTCTGCTCTCTCTAGTACTGCGCCTGCTGAGGCCTTGCACACCTTCACACTTGACTCAGGTGCTTCTCGCTGTTTCTTTTGCGACAGTACCACAGTCACACCACTCCCTGCACCTGTTCCAGTCTCTCTGGCTGACCCCTCCGGGGGCCCAGTTCCTTCCCATTCCTCCACTGTTCTCCCGTGTCCGGCGGTTCCGTCTGGCTCACTGACAGGTCTTCACCTCCCCTCGTTCTCTACGAACTTGGTGAGTACCGCTGTCCTTCAGGATGCTGGGGTTGATACCTTTACCCCTGGAGGACAGCGTGTGGCGATCTGCACGTGTGCACGGACGGGCCGTCACCTGGCCACGTTCACCCGTCGGCCTGGGTCGAGCCTGTACACACTAACTATTGAGCCTCCTCAAGTCGCTGCATCTGGTCAGGTGTCTGCGTCAGGTCAGCTGTCAGCCCCTTGTTCGTGTCGCCTCCTTTCGCACCAGACTCTCCTCTGGCACCACCGCCTTGGTCACCCCTCCCTGCCACGCCTCCGTGGCATGCACTCCCGCCTCCTTGTCTCTGGCCTTCCCAGGTCTCTGCCCCCCCTCCCGCGCTCGCCTGCCCCGCCCTGCCTTCCTTGCATCGAGGGGCGGCAGCGCGCCGCTCCTCACTCCTCCTCGTTTCCCCCGATGACTACTCCCCCGCAAACTCTCCACATGGACGTGTGGGGCCCAGCCCGCGTCAGTGGACAGGGCCGCGAGCGGTACTTCCTGCTGGTTGTTGATGACTACTCGCGTTACACCACGGTCTTCCCCTTGCACAGGAAGGAGGAGGTCCCTGCTGTCCTGATACCTTGGATCCGCGCTGTTCGTCTCCAGCTCCGCAAGCGGTTCCGCACGGACTTTCCTGTCCTGCGTCTGCACTCTAACAGAGGTGGTGAGTTCTCCTCCGACCTCTTCAGGGATTTTTTTCATGGGGAGGGCATTCTGCAGTTGTTCACGCTTCCGTCCTCTCCGCAGGAGAATGGGATTGCAGAGCGCTGCATTGGCTTAGTCATGGAGGTGGCTCGTACCTCCATGATCCATGCGGCTACCCCCCATTTTCTGTGGCCGTTTGTGGTCCGGTACGCTACGCATCAGCTCAACCTCTGGCCCCGTGTCTCCTTGCCGGAGACCTCGCCCACCCTGCGTTGGACGGGGGAGGCTGGCGATGCGTCGTAGTTCCGGGTCTGGGTCTCCCGTGCCTTTGTCCGCGATACCACCACTGGCAAGCTCTCCTCTCGCGCTGTTCCCTGCGTCTTCCTTGGCTTTCCCCCTGACGCGCCTGGCTGGCAGTTTTACCACCCTACCTCGCGCCGTGTCTTCGCGTCCCAGGACGTCACCTTTGACGAGTCGGTTCCCTTCTACCGTCTCTTCCCCTACCGCACTGCCCCTCTTCCCCCCCCGCCGCTCTTCCTTGCTCCAGGTCCCCCTCCGGTAGACCCCCTCCCCCCTCAGGGTCTTGCTCCTTCAGGTGTGTCTCAGGTAGACCCACTTCCCTTGGCTGAGCCTGTCGAGGTCACTGGTGACTCAGGTGCTGCTGGGGGTGGTCCTGCTCGGGGTGCTGCGCCTGGGGGTACTGAGCCTGAGCGTGCGGAGCCTGGGGGTGCTGAGCCTGAGCGTGCAGAGCCTGGGGGTGCTGAGCCTGAGCGTGCGGAGCCTGGGGGTGCTGAGCCTGAGTGTGCGGAGCCTGGGGGTGCTGAGCTTGGGGGTGCGGAGCCTGGGGGTGCTGAGTCTGGAGGTGCTGAGCCTGGGGGTGCTGCGTCTTCACTACGGGAGCCTCTCTCACCACAGCAGCTGCGTGAGTGGCTTGCTCGACGCTCCCGCCTTCGGAGTGGTGCTGCTGGAGCTGGAGGCTCTGGCGCTGGTGCTGCTGGTCCTGAAGGTGCTTGTACTGGAGGTACTGGAGCTGCCGGGGCTGGTGGTGCTGCTAGTCCTGGAGGTGCTGGAGGTCCTGCTGGAGCTGGAGGTACTAGGGGTACTGGAGCTACTAGTCCTGGAGGTCCTACAGGTGCCTCGCCACCGCAGTCTAGTCGGCGAGAGCCTCTCTCACCACAGCAGCTGCGTGAGTGGCTTGCTCGACGCTCCCGCCTTCGGAGTGGCGCTGCTGGAGCTGGGGGCGCCGGGGCTGGAGGCTCTGGAGCTGGAGGTGCTGGTCCTGGAGGTGCTCGTACTGGAGGTACTGGAGCTGCCGGGGCTGGTGGTGCTGCTGGTACAGGAGGTGCTGGTGGTGCTGGCACTGCTGGTCCCGGAGGTGCTCGTCCTGGAGGTGCTGGAGCTGGAGGTCCTGGAGCTGCTAGTCCTGGACGTGCTAGAGGTCCTGCTGGATCTGGAGGTACTGGGGGTACTGGAGCTGCTGGTCCTAGAGGTGCTCGTACTGGAGGTACTGGAGCTGCCGGGGCTGGTGGTTCTGCTGGTACTGGAGCTGCAGGAGCTGGTGGTGTTGCGGGCTCGGGAGCTGGAGGCGCTGGAGCTGGAGGCGCTAGAGCTGGAGGCACTGGCGCTGGAGGCGCTGGAGCTGGAGGTGCTGGAGCTGGAGGCACTGGAGCTGGAGACACTGGAGCTGGAGGCACTCGAGATGGAGGCACTGGAGCCGGAGGCGCTGGAGCTGGAGGTACTGGAGCTGGAGGCACTGGAGCCAGAGGCACTGGAGCTGGAGGCGCTGGAGCTGGAGGTCCTGGAGCTGCTGGAGGCACTGGAGCTGGAGGCACTGGCGCTGGAGGCGCTGGAGCTGGAGGTACTAGAGTCGGAGGCACTGGAGCTGGAGGCGCTGGCGCTGGAGGCGCTGGAGCTGGAGGTACTGGAGCTGGAGGTACTGTGCAGCAGCGACCGTTCTTCGAGCCGCTACCGCAGCTGTCCGAGCTTCTGCCCGAGTTGGTGCTCCGCCAAGTTCTTAGTCTTCCTTCGTCCACTGCCCTTCCTCCTGGCTCGCCGCTGCCTGCCCCATCTCGTTACACTGAGCACCCGGTCTCCCTTACAGAGCATCGTGAGCCTGCGTCTCGTCCTGTCTCCCCTGTTCGCGCTGGTCGCACCGCTCGTCGTGTCCCGCGTCCGCGTCCTCCTCCTGTGCCAGGCACTCACACTATGGCACTTCGTCCTTCCTCTGCTCCACAGCGCGTCCCTCTGCCGTCTCCTCCTGCGTCCTCTCTTCCTGAGATTCCTGACCCTGAGTCTGACCGTGTTCGTGCTGCCAGCCCCACAGTCATGCGTCTCCTGGCTACTGTTGTCACTGACCCGTCGTTTGAGTCCACTGCTGCGTCTGCCTTAGTTGCTGAGCTTGTCGACTTTGCTGCTGCGTGTCGTCTAGACTACGCTGCCAGTCTTGTTGCTGAGTCTGAGTCTGTCTGTCCTCCGTCCGTCGGGGGTAAGTGTGCTCTTGGCACGGACGTCCTTGAGGACAGGCAGGAGGACTTTGAGTGTCTTGCGGCTGTTGTACCTCATCTCGTGGCCTGGCTGCTTGCACCTGAGGGAGACCCGGATGCACTGGACATCCCGACCCCGCGCTCTTACGCAGAGGCGATCTCGGGTCCCTACTCCTCTCAGTGGCAGACAGCCATGGACGCAGAGATGGCATCTTGAAAGTCTACAAGCACCTACGTCGATGAGGTTCCCCCAACTATATGCATGCTATATTTGTGTAGGCTGTAGTGGGGTAGCCAATATGGGGTACAACCCCTTTAGGGTTTGATACTTGTACCCAACTCTCATTCAATGCATTCATTCCTGCTTCTAGATTCTGACATGGTATCAGAGCAGTAGGTCCGTAGGACCGTTTTTTCCGGGCCCACCCTTCCTTAGTGACCGTCTGCTGTTACCGTGCTGCCCCACGCCCTGTTCTGCGTCGCGCCGCCCGCGCGCGCCCTGCCCTGCCTTGCCTTGCCGTGAGCGGCCCTAGAGCCCATGCGCGGCCCCTTCCCTTGCCGTGCGCTGCCCCAGAGCCCGCGCACCGCCCCTGCCTGCCCGTCGCGCCGCCCCAGAGCCTGCGCGCGGCCCCTGCCCTTGCCGTGCGCCGCCCCAGAGCCCGCGCGCCCCTCCTGCCTGCCCGTCGCGCCGCCCTAGAGCCCGCGCGCTGCCCCTGCCTTCCCGTCGCGCCTCCCTAGAGCCTGCGCGCGGCCCCTGCCCTTGCCGTGCGCCGCCCCAGAGCCCGCGCACGGCCCCTACCCTTGTCGCGCGCCGCCCCAAAGCCCGCGCGCCGCTCCTGCCTTCCCGTCGCGCCGCCCCACAACCTGCGCGCGGCCCCTGCCCTTGCCGTGCGCCGCCCCAGAGCCCGCACGCCCCTCCTGCCTGCCCGTCGCGCCGCCCTAGAGCCCGCGCGCTGCCCCTGCCTGCCCGTCGCGCCGCCCCAAGGCCTGCACGCGGCCCCCGCCCTTGCCGTGCGCCGCCCCAGAGCCCGCGCGCCGCCCCTGCCTGCCCGCAAGGTCGCTATCGTGGCCCCGCCCTACCGGTGTCGCGGCCCCCCCCTGCAGCAGCCGACGCGGCCTCGCCACGCCGCCGACGTGGCCCCGCCAGGTCACTGTCGCGGCCCCACCCTGCCGCTGACGCGGCCCCGCCCTGCCGCCGACGCGGCCCCGCCTGGCCCCGCCCTGCCGCCGACACGGCCCCGCCCTGCAGCAGCTGCCGTGGCCCTGCCCTACCGTTGTCGTGGCCCCAGCCCTGCAACTGACGCGGCCCTACTCTGCAGCCGCTTTTGCGGCCCCGCCGTCGCCGCCGTCGTGCGCCTACCCTGCCGCTGCCAGCCGAGCGCCGGCCCTGCTCGCTCGGCGAGCGCCTGCCCTTCCCGCCACTGGTGAGCACCTGCCCTACCGCGCTTCCCGCGCGCCTGCCTTGTTAGCATGCTGCCGCGCCATCTGCCTGCCTGCCTGCCTGCCTGTCTGCCTGCCTGCGTGCCGTGCATGCCCTGCCCGTGCTGCTACTGCTGCTACTTCTGTTACCGCTGCTAGGCTGCTGCTGCTGCTACTGCTGCTGCTACTGCTGCTGCTACTGTCGGTGGCCAGATGCAGCTCCAGCGACGTCTGCGCAAGTCTCTCACGCCCCAGCAGCTTAGTGAGTGGTATGCTAGTTCGGGTTGTGGCGGTAGCCGTCGTGGCTGTCGCCCTGGAGCTGGTCAGTCGGGAGCGTCTGGCAGTGGCCAACTGCATCTCCAGCGGCGTCCGCGCGAGACACTTACGCCCCAGCAGCTTCATGAGTGGTACGCTCAGAGTAGAGGGTCTCAGAGTACCGTTCGCTGCCCGTACGTCATTCGCACAGGTGCTCGGGCTGGTCAGGCTTGCGGGACGCTTGGTCACACACAGTCCCGCTGCTTTGCCCGTCTGAGCGACGCCTGGCGTACCGAGTTTGGCGACGAGGCTGAGCTCCCCACCTGGCTGGAGCTGCTTAGGCAGAGGGTAGATGTCTTTGCTCTTGACTATGATGCTATTCTCACTGCCATGTATGCGTTGCCTACTAGTGCTGACGGTGCCTGTTACCTGTGCGTACCGCCTGACCCAGGTATAGAGCCTGCTGCTCTAGGTGCTGGTGAGGCTGCTGCTCTAGGTGCTGGTGAGGCTGCTGCTCTAGGTGCTAGTGCGTCTCCTGCTCTAGGTGCTGGTGAGGCTACTGCTCTAGGTGCTAGTGAGTCTACTCTCTCTGGTACTGCGCCTGCTGAGGCCTTGTACACCTTCACGCTTGACTCAGGTGCTTCCCGCTCCTTCTTTCGCGACAGCACCACCCTCACGCCGCTCAGTCGGCCGGTTGCAGTCTCCCTGGCAGACCCCTCTGGGGGTCCAGTCCTTGCGCACTCCTCCACGGTCCTGCCGTGTCCGGCGGTCCCGTCTGGCTCCCTGTCAGGTCTTCACCTCCCCTCGTTCTCTACGAACTTGGTGAGTGGTGCTGACCTTCAGGACTAGTGGGTTGACCAGTTCACTCCTGGAGGTCAGCGCGTGACCCACTGTACGTGCTCTCGGATGGGCCGGCACCTGGCCACGTTTACCCGTGCACCTGGCTCGAGTCTGTACACACTGACTACTGTGTCCCCTCAGGTCGCTGCGTCTGCGTCTGCGTCTGCGTCAGGTCAGCTAGCGGCCCCCTGCTCGTGTCGCGCTTTGTCGCACCAGACCCTCCTTTGGCACCACCGTCTTGGTCACCCCTCGGTGCAGCGCCTTTGTAGCATGCACTGGCGGGTCCTTGTCTTTGGTCTTCCCAGGGTTCTCCCTCCCCTCCCACCCTCGCCTGCTCCTCCCTGTCTTCCCTGTGTCAAGGGGCGGCAGCGCGCCGCTCCTCACTCCTCCTCGTTTCCCCCGACGACTGCTCCCCTGCAGACCCTGCACATGGACGTGTGGGGCCCAGCCCGCGTCACTGGACAGGGCCGCGAGCGGTACTTTCTGCTGGTTGTCGACGACTACTCGCGTTACACCACGGTCTTCCCCTTGCGCACCAAGGGGGAGGTCCCTGATGTTTTGATCCCTTGGATCCACGCTGCCCGTCTCCAGCTCCGCGAGCGGTTTGGGACGGAGTTTCCCATCCTGCGTCTGCACTCTGATAGAGGTGGGGAGTTTTCCTCCGACCTTCTGCAGAGCTTTTGTCGTGGGGAGGGCATTCGCCAGACGTTCACGCTTCCGGCCTCTCCGCAGCAGAATGGGGTTGCTGAGCGCCGCATTGGCTTGGTCATGGAGGTCGCTCATACCTCCATGGTCCATGTGGCTGCCCCCCATTTTCTGTGGCCGTTTGCAGTCCGGTACGCCGCGCATTAGCTCAACCTCTGGCCCCGTGTCTCCTTGCCGGAGACCTCGCCCACACTGCGGTGGATAGGGGAGGTTGGCAATGAGTCGGTGTTCCGGGTCTGAGGTTCTCGTGCCTTTGTCCGCGATACCACCGCAGACAAGCTCTCCGCCCGCGCTGTTCCCTGTGTCTTCCTTGGCTTTGTCCCTGACGCGCTTGGCTGGCAGTTTTACCACCCCACCTCGCGCCGTGTCTTCCCCTCTCAGGACGTCACGTTCGACGAGTCGGTTCCCTTTTACCGTCTCTTCCCCTACCGCACTGCCCCTCTCCCCCCCCCCGCCGCTCTTCCTCGCTCCAAGTGCTTCCCAGGTAGACCCCCTCCCCGCTCCCGGTCCTGCTCCTTCAGGTGTGTCTCAGGTAGACCCTCCTCCCTTGACTGCGCCGGTTGAGGTCACTGGTGACTCAGGTCTTGCTGAGAGTGGTCCTGCTCGGGGTGCTGCTTCTGGGGGTGCTGAGCCTGGGGGTGCGGAGCCTGGGGGTGCTGAGCCTGGGGGTACGGAGCCTGGGGGTGCTGAGCCTGGGGGTAATGTGTCTGGGGGTGCTGCACCTGGGGGCGCTGAGGCGTCTGGTGAGCAGTCTCCCTGGAGCGGCCGTCTCCGTAGCCGCTCCACTGGTGCCTCACCGCTGCCCTCTCGTCGTCGTCCCCCTCTCTCCCCACAGCAGCTGCGTGAGTGGTACGTTAGCCGTCAGGGTCGAGCTGCTGGAGCTGGGGGCCCTGCTGCGGGAGGCGCTGGTGTTGGAGGCACTGGAGCCGGCGCTGTCCCTGGGGGTGCGGAGCCTAAGCGCGAGGAGCCTGGGAGTCCTGAGTCTGGGGGTGAGGAGTCTGGGGGTGCTGAGTCTGGGGGTACTGAGCCTGAGGGTACTGAGACTGCTGGTGCGCGGTCTCCTTGGAGTGGCCGCCTTCGTCCGCGTGTGCCTCTCACCTCACAGCAGCTGCACGACTGGTACAGACGCCGTCAGGTTCGCGCTGCTGGAGCTCGGGGCTCTGCCGCTGGAGGTGCTTCTGCTGACGCCACTGGAGCTGGGAGTGGTGCTGGTACTTTGTCTACTGGAGGTGCTGGAGTTGCTGGTCCCGGAGGTGCTCGTACTGGCAGTACTGGAGCTGCTGGGACTGGAGGTGCTGTGTCTGGGGGTGCTGCTGCTGGAGACACTGAGACTGGAGACCCTGGGACTGGAGGTGCCGGTTCTGGGGGTGCTACTGCTGGAGACGCTGCGGCTGGAGACCCTGGGACTGGAGGTGCCGGTTCTGGGGGTGCTGCTGCTGGTGGAGCTGGTCCTGGAGGAGCTGGCGCTGGAGGTTCTGGAGCTACTGGGGGTACTGGAGCTGCTGGAGGCGCGGGAGCTGCTGGTACTGGTGGCACGGCGCAGCCGAGACTGTTCTTCGCTCCGCCGTCTTCGTCGTCTCTGCCACCGCCTGACTCTGTGCTTCGCCAGGTTCTTAGCCTCCCGTCTTCTACTGGTCCTGCCTGACTAGTATTGTTACGTGTTTGTTAGCCACTGCTGTCACCGACCCGTCGTTTGAGTCTGCTACTGCGTCTGCCTTGGTCGCTGAGCTTGTGGACTTTGCTGCTGCCTGTCGTCTAGACTACGCTGCTAGTCTTGTTGCTAAGTCTACGTCTATCTGTCCTCCATTCGTTGGGGGTGAGTGTGCTCTTGGCACGGACGTCCTTGAGGACAGACAGGAGGACCTTGAGTGTCTTGCGGCCGCTGCGCCTCATCTCGTGACCATGCTGCTTGCCCCTAAGGGAGACCCGGATGCACCAGACATCCCCACCCCGCGCTCTTACGCTGAGGCGATTGCGGGTCCCTACTCCTCTCAGTGG